CTTGAACTCTGCTTGGAAGAAACTGTGGTCAGAATGTGTAGACAAAAGGGATTTTGAAGGGTTTGAGGCTAACCCTGAGAATCCTATGCCAGTTGTGGAATCAATTGTGGCATTGGGGAAGTCCTTGGGGTTGGAGGTTAGTGTGGAGGATGTGGAAGAGTTGGTGGAAGAGGACAATGAAGAACTAACCACTGATGAGCTACAAGATCATCTTCAACAGCAAGAGGCTAGACCTGAGGAAACTGCTCCGGAGGAGGGGATAGAGAAATTGAAGAAGTTGTCTACTTCAAAGATTAAGGAAATGTGTGCAATGTGGCTTAAAGTGCAAACCTTTTTTGATGAAAATCACCCTCACACAGCTATTGCAAGCCGTGCTGGTGACTATTACACTGACAATGTTGTGAAACACTTTAGGAATGTCATAAAGGAACGGGAGGTACAGGCCTCTATGGACAGATATGTTGTGCGACAAAAGTCAAGTGACTCTCAAGCTGGTCCTAGTGGCATTAAAAGAAGAAGGGAAGTAACCCCGGAAAAGAACTTGCCACCTCAAGTCCTAATGGAAGGGGAGTCCCCTTCTAAACACTAACACCATCCACACTCTCCCCTCCTCCCATCCCATCAATCATCACCAGATCTTCAATAAAGGTAAGTGTCATGTAATTGTGCATGTCTTCTTCAGTTTGTGTGTATTAAAATTAATATTTCATGTGGTAAAAAAAATTTTTTCAATACTTTCGGGTGTCAGGAACGGATTAATTTGATTTCCATTATTTCTTATGGGGAAAATTAACTCGACTATCAATGAGCTCTCAGGAACGGATTAATATCATTGGTCGAGGGTTCACTGTAATTATAAAGCCTCTCCTCACTTAGTGACATATGTACTCGTTTACTGATGACTCAAACTTAAGATGGGCTCTCTGACCAATATGTATACCTATATAATGTAAATTAGAGCTGATTTCCTCTATTCTGTTTACAGCCTCTCCTCACTTAACAAGAGTGTTCCATTCCTGAGACCATGTCGTTAAACGAATTCGTCACTAAGTGAGGAGCACACTGTAATAGTAGTGAGTTTGTGTCAACTGGCTTTGATATGGTTTTAATGTCACCTTTTGCCATTTATAACATTTCTGGTATATTTTTAAATGTTTATACAGTAGTGTACTGTATATTGAAAAAAATAGAATAGAGGAAATCAGCTCTAATACACATTATTTGGGTATGAACACTGGTCAGCAAGCCTCTCGTAAGTCTGAGGCATCAGTAAATGCGTACGTCGCTAAGTGAGGAGAGGCTGTACAGTGGACCCCCGGTTATCGGCCAGTTTGGTTATCAGCCAACTCGGCTATCGGCGGGTTTTTCGGCGCCCGGTTATCGGCGGTTTTGGACGCGTCCATCCGCTGGCTGGGGCAGCTTGCGCTTCAGTTTGCCTTTGTCTCTCGGTGGCTGAGGAAGCTTCTGCTCATACATCCAAACATTTCACTTGTTTACCTTTGTTTTTAGTGGTTTTTCTTGCAGTGCAACTGAAATGAGTAACCATGGCTCCAAAGAAAGTTCCTAGTAAAGTTCCTGTTGTAAAGAAAGTGAGAAACACCATAGAATTTAAGCGTGAAGTGATCGAAAAGTTTGAGAGTGGTATGAAGGTGATGGAACTTGCCAGGATGTACAGCAAGAATAAATCAACAATTACATCCATCCTGTCAAAGAAAGAACAAATCAAAGACACTAATGTTGCAAAAGGAGTAGCTTTTCTAACTAAACAAAGGACACCGATGATGGAAGAGATGGAAAAGCTATTATTATTGTGGATTAAGGAAAAAAAATTAGTGGGAGACAGTGTAGTGGAGTCTACTATTTGTGAGAAGGCAAAGCAGTTGCATGAGTATCTTCCAAAGAAAATGCCTGGAACAAGTGCTGCAGTTTGTGAATTTAGGGCCAGCAAAGGATGGTTTGATAGATTTAAGAAGCATAGTGGCATACACAGTGTTGCAAGGCATGGTGAGGCTGCAAACTCTGACAAATGTGCAGCTGAACAGTATGTTCACGAATTCCAGGACTATATAAAGGCTGAAGGATTCGAACCCCAACAAGTTTTCAATTGTGACGAAACAGGCCTGTTTTGGAAGAAAATGCCAACGAGGACCTACATTACCCAGGAGGAAAAGGCACTCCCAGGACACAAGCCTATGAAAGACAGGCTTACTCTTTTGTTGTGTGGTAATGCTGGTGGTTATTTCAAAGTGAAGCCTTTTTCTTGTGTTTCACTCAGAAAATCCCAGTGTGTTTAAGAAAAACAATGTCATTCAAAATCACCTCTATTTCTGTAATATATCTTCCAGTCTATCACAAGAGATGAAGAAAACGAGAACAGAACCATAAATAGGATATGAAAATAGACCACAAAGTCGCAGTTTTAAACCGAAAACACGGTCGCAGTGTTTTCTCATTATGCACTGCTTGCTGCAGGATTTTTTGTATACTGCGCACACCGACCATACAGACCCATTCTCTCATATGTAAGCCTACCAGTTTTCTCCTGCAAGATTTGAAGCCGCCAGAATTTGGCAGTTTTACGGGACCAACACTGACTTCAAAGCCGTAATTTTACAGGACTGACATCAAAGGGGTTAAAGGTTGTGGTTATGATTATAACCATAAGATACTTCCCAGAACACTTTACTCTTGAACTTTCAAAACAATCTACAGATCCTTAAGAAAAATGCTCAGTTTCTTAAAATATGGTAATCTGAGGCCCTACTTATGACCAAATAAGTGTCAAATGGTATTCACTCTACATGTATAGCTTTCAAGATTACTTGACGAGCACAATTTTTCATACATTCATGAAATCTAACCACAAACCACTCATATGCAAAGGCATGTAGTAAATATCAAACCACTGAAGAACAGTATTTGGTCATGTGCAACTGATAAATGCAACGTCCTGTCAAGCTGAGCAGTTACTGTCAAAATGTCAAAGAACAGAAATCCAACCTCAAGAAAACATTTATTGGAACTAAAAAAATCTTCTGTGCCAAGCAATTTTTGTTTTCAACACGCCGGCCGCTTCCCACTAAGGCAGGGTGACCCAAACAGAAAGAAAAACCCAAAAAGAATGAAAAAACTTTCACCATCACTCATACGTAATCACTGTCTTTGCAGAGGCACTCAGATACGACAGTTTAGATGTCTCTCCAAACTGCCAATATCCTAAACCCCTTCCTTAACCCTTTGACTATTTTGGTCGTATATATATGTCTTACAAGCCAGTGTTTCGGATGTACAGTATATATACTCAATAATTCTAGCGGCTTCAAATCAGCAGGAGAAAGCTGGTAGGCCCACATGTGAGAGAATGAGTCTGTGTGGTCAGCGTGCACCACATAAAAAAAAAATCCTGCAGCATGCAGTGCATAATGAGAAAAAAAAAAAACTGACTTTTTTTTTGATTAAAACGTCAACTTTGAGGTGTATTTTCGTATAGTATTTATCGGTGTATTCTCGTTTTCATGGTCTCACGTGATAAAATGATAAACATATTACAGAAATAGAGATGATTTTGATAAGTTTCACGATGAAAACAACCTTGAAATTGAGCTCAAAGTAGCAGAAATGCTTGATTTTTACCAATGTTCAGGAGTAAGCAAATCACACCACACGTCCAATACACATCAACTGGGGAGTCTAATATTCTTTCACTAGTGCACTGATATTATTTATACCATTTTTACAATAATGCAGTAGTCTGCATAACAGTAAATTTTGTATTTTTTGTATGAATAAAAAATCAAAATAGAAAGCAATAGTAATATAAGAAGGGCCTAGAGACATGACTAACGAACAGAGGATATGTTATTTTAGTGCCAAGAATGTCTACATTGTTTATTCTGGACCCTATTTTGAAATTGGCATCTTTTTTAATTTGCCTGAAATTGGCCAAATTGCCAATTTCTGACCACTTTATTGGGTAGTTCACATCGGTAAATGAGCAGTTTCTTGTACTCAGTTGATAGAAAAAATGGAGTTCTAAAGAAATAGCTATGAGTTTGGTCAACTGGAACAACGGAATTGGCTAAAAACAGGGCTCAAAGTTGGCAAAATCGCCGATGCATATATGTCGCCGAGACAACTTCATGGGAGCCTAATTCCCTGAGTTTTCGACCAAATTTCTTACTTTTGGTGTCATTACCATCGGGAAAAGATTCTCCATCATTTCCTAAGAATTTTTTTTTTTTTTTTTTTTCTAAAAATTTTTCGACATAGAATGACAGTTTCATAAAGGGGTTTGCAACAGTCAAAGGGTTAAAGTGCAGGCATTGTACTTCCTATTTCCAGGACTCAAGTCCAGCTAACCAGTTTCCCTGAATCCCTTCACAAAATATTACCCTGTTCACACTCCAACAGCTTGTCAAGTCCCAAAAACCATTTGTCTCCATTCACTCCTATCTAACATGCTCACGCACGCTTACTGAGCATGTCTGAAGTAATTCAGAAGCTCTGATGATAAGAATTACTATTACTATTACTTTCACAAAAGAGTACTGAGCCTATATGTGATGAGTGGAAACAATTTGTCCAATAAAGATTAAAAAGGCACAACACTGAAACTGAAATAAAACACAAATAACCTGCACATAGGAGACAAACTTATGATGACATTTCGGTCCAACTTGGGCCATTAACTAGTTAATGGTCTAGATCAGACCAAAACGTCATCTAAAGTTTCGTTCTCCTATGTGTGGGTTATCTGTGTATTATTCCAGTCAAGGTATTCTGCTTTTAACTAGTTAATGGTCCATGTCAGATCGAAACATAATCGTAAGTTTCATTCCCCTATTTGTAGGTCATTTGTTTATTATGAATTAGTCCAATGCTCAAAGGACAAGTTGCCATCCTAGAATTTACCACAGCACCAATCATACACCTTTATCACAGATGATTTTTCTTATTTTTAAGTAACAAACTGATATAACAACACAAAGGTAGTGACTAACCTGTAACAGAGGTAATGGGGTAGGTGGTCCAGGTATAAAGTTGAGCTTGAGGTCAATGTGACCAACTTGAACTGAACCAACTCCACTTGCTCCAGCTGGCAACAACAATTCAAACAAGTGTTCATCCCATGTTGAACTGCAATGGAAGCAATGATATGTGTCATCTGAGGAATTTTAACTTACCAAACTTTATGATTATATTAATGCTTAAACTACCCTACAAATTTAGTCATTATGGTGGCTGAATTCACTTTACAAGTACAGGAGGGACCTTCTTATACAGCAAAACCTTTTCGGTGTTCCATGATTTTGTTGGCTTCAAACAGAGCCATTGTTCATTATGTTCCACCCACTGGCAAATGTCACTGGTGGGTGGAACAATAGCTCAACTGAAAGCCAATGAAAACACTTGAACACCAAAAATAGCTGCTGTATATGCAAGGCACTCCTGTATTACAGAGGATATGATTAACCAGAATTTAATGCACAATCATCTGCTAACTTTCATACTTTTTTTTATTAACATATTGGCCAATATCCCACTGAGGCAGTGTGACCCCCAAAGACAACAGTACTGTCAGTATCACTTAATTCCTAGCTGCCTTTTCATAGGACAGGGCATTACAGTCCTTCACTAACTATCCAACTTCACTTCTCTCTCTCAAATTACAAATTACAGACACTGCATTTCCCTTTTCCAAAGTTCAAGTTTGGCTAATTGCTGTCTATTAATGCATTCCTAGGTTTTACTGTACTCATAGTACAATCACATATCAAATCCTACAGATCACTAACACTGATCTACAACACTCACATTTGTCACCTAGACAGTCACCTCATACTTCTTTATGTCTCTCTCACTCTCCTCCATCATTTCCTGAGATGTCTTCCACATCTTCCCTCCACACCAATTTTTAATTTAAACATTCTGGCCCTCTCCCACCGAGGCAGGGAGATCCGAAAAAGAAAAATTTTCATCACCTTTCACGCTATCACTGTCTCGCCAGAGGCAGGCAGATACAACAGTTCAGATATCCCTCCAAACAGCAAATACTCCCAACCCTCATTCAGAGTGCATGTACTATACTTATACAGTGGACCCCCGAGTTTCGTGATTAATCCGTTCCAGAGAGCCTGCCGAAAGTCAAAATTCACGAAACTCGAAACCACTTTCCCCATAAGAAATACAGTGGACCCCCGCTTTACGATCAGCTCCCAATGCGACCAATTATGTAAGTGTATTTATGTAAGTGCATTTGTACGTGTATGTTTGTGGGTCTGAAATGGACTAATCTAATTCACAATATTCCTTATGGAAACAAATTCGTTCAGTAATGGCACCTGAACATACTTCTGGAATTAAATAATATCGTAAGCCGGGGGTCCACTGTAATGGAAATAAAATTAATCCGTTCCACACACCCAAAAATATTAAAATAAAATATTTTTTTCAAATTAAATAAAGATTTACATACTGAAAACAATCAGAAATCAAGTACATGCATACAAAAAATAATAATAACATTACACTTACCTTTACTGAAGACTTCTGGGTGGATGGAAGACGGGAGGAGGGGATAGGAGGAAGGTGTACACTATTGTTTGGAAGGAGAATCTCCTTCCATTAGGACTTCAGGTAGCAAGTCCTTTTCTGGGGTTATTTCGCTTCTTCTTTTAATGCCACTGGGAACAACTTCAGTCACTGGACCCCTGTCGCACAAAATATCTATCCAGAGAGGTCTGTTTCTGGCATTTCTTTATGATTTGCCTGAAGTAGGACAAGGTTTTGTCACTGAACATGTTGCAGATATGGCTTGTTTCAGCTTGGTTAGGGTGATACTTTTCAACAAAACTTTGCAACTCATTCCACTTTGAACACTGGGTGGGTCATTGGGCTAATCGGGAGGGGGGGGGGGTCATTGGTCTAATCCGTGGGGGGGAGGACATGGACCTGCTCCGCATGGGTCAGTAGGCCTGTTGCAGTGTTCCTTCTTTCTTATGTTCCTATGTTCTTAATCACCAAGAAGGCACCTCCTTCACTCTCTTTTCCTCCTCCTCTGAAGCAAGTTCCTCAGCTGTGGTCTGATGCTTTTCCAGTTGAAACTCTTGCAGTTCGTCAGTGGTTAGCTCTTCCCTGTGGTCCTCCACCATCTCTTCCACATCCCCGTCACTCACCTCCAACCCCATGGACTTGCCTCAATTCCACAACACCTTCCACAACAGGCAGAGGGTCGACAGGGTCAGGGTCTGCCTCAAACCCTTCAAAATCCCTCTGGATCGTGTTCTTCGCTTTCTTTACCAAAGGGCTTGCACTAGCTTTCCTTGGGCCCATGGTGACTTATTTAGCAGTTGCAATCACAAAAACAATGGATTATTACGTATGAACCCGCGGGGTGATGGTCACGTGTTGGTAAACAATGGCACACTGAGCGTGAATGGCGTGGGTGACTGGCTTTGTGTGCGCAGTGACGGGCGGACGGGTACCGGACGGTCGCCGAATCATGAGTCTAATCACGAAACTCGAGGCCAAATTTTGCCGAAAGTCGATGCTGCCAAAACTTGGGGGTCCACTGTAATCTCGAGGACCCATGTCTGGCTAACTGTTTTCCCTGAATCTCTTCACAAAATGTCACCTTACTCACAGATTTATATGCCATCATAATAGACCATCCCTGTTCCATCCTGTGCACAAAAGCAAACCATCTCCATCCCTTTTCCAGTTTTAAATTACACCTTTCAAGCCTACACAATCTCTAATTTTTGCATTCTTAATTTTTTTTTTTTAGCTCAATGGCTGCCTTTCATAAAGGCAGGGTGACCAAAAGAAGAAAACACATTCACCATCATTCATTCAAGTGCAATCTTTCCAGAAGTGCAGTGACATCACAATAACATTACCCTCAACACTTAGAATTTTCCTTATGTAGGGTAATAATCAAGTGATTCAAACTGAGTTCTGACATTTGGGTGTCACCAACCTGCTCTTTGCCACAACATTTAAAACCCATGCTTTACACCCAAACATAAGAACTGCTATACTGTACATCCAAATACTGTTACTACTACCTTATTCTTTGTACATTATATGTATTTTAGCACTGCCAATTGCAAGTTTATTCTCCCCACTTATGTTGCAAAACTTATTTATTATGAATATTAACTTTTTCAAAATGCAACAGACTAACAAACTACATACATAAAGATAGTTACATTGCCCACCAATGCAAAAAATAACCTTCACATTCATACAAGTCGTTCACACAAGGAAAACTAAATAAATGTTAATGAATAATGTTGACCTGTCTGCCTCCAGCCGCCAGGTGCGGGTTGTATCCATATCCTCAGCATGTTGTTGGAGGTGCTGGGGGTTACGGCGCTGCTTCTGAGCTTGGATGATCTCGGACCAGCAAGGGGGTACAGTTGCCACAAATCTAACGAAATTAAACAATTTCTTAACCGGTGCAATGAAAAAAAAAAAAAGTAAAAGTAATGAATATAATACAGTATTGAAAAATTCACTGGCATGTAATCTACAAAAGCAATGAGGTATCTGCCTTGAAAACTAAAATTTATAAAAAGGTGTTAAATACTGAAAAATAAAACACTATTAAAAGTGTGAATGCCACAAATATACACTAACTGATGTGAAGTAATGTTGAAGATCCACTTCCTATATACATACTGAAGACCTATTCCTAAAAATGGCCATTCAAGGTTAAACCATCAAAATGGAACAAAATTTTTCATTTTATGAGCAAACAAAGGTACCCTAAGTTCTTAAGACATACCCAAAATATGGTCCAGAAACAAGTCAACAGAAAGGAGAATAATTAAAGACAAGGAGGATAAAATGAAAGGATTTCTACCACAGATAACAAAAAAGAGGAGATACAACCTAGGTAACAATACACTGTAACTTACTTTGGGCATCCTGTCTGAAACTGAGTAAGCTCTACACACTTGTCCAGCACCTCTTCTGACAAACCTTGGTTCACCAATAGCTCACCAGCTGAAACAGTTCATTATTTAGTGAGAACATATTTTATTAAAAAAAAAAAATAAGAAATTAAGTACCGTTCTGCTTTCATACAGGTTACCTACTGTATATAACTAGTCTGTGAATCTTTCCAAGACAGTGTTACCATGCCTTGCAAAAAACTACAAAAATATGACTTTTGTGATAAACAGATTATTTGTTGATAGTACAATAGTTGAATATATTTATCTTTAATTCTGGTACCTACAATGTAGCCTTATTTAATTCATTCATTACTACTATCTTACCACATCGTAGACTTTCACAAAGTAGCTAAGTCTTACGCATGAGCTCTGGCTCTCGGGTTAGCGCCGGCGTTGCTGCAGAAGGCATAGATGCAGCTGAAGTTGTGCTTGAAGCTGCAGTGTCTGCCTCCTTGCCAATGTCTGTATCTTTGCGCAACTGGATCAAGTTCACTCTGCCGTCGTCACAACTAACACAGAGTCGCTCCAAGCCTGTTAAAACAGCTGCATTAACTTTAACATATAAAATTTTTACTTACAAACAGTATACAGTCACATATGCATTATTATAAATCTGGATTTGACAAGTGAGTGGAGGCAAGTGTTTTTTATAATTTTATGTGCTTCTGAAGTGTGAACAAGATATTTATGAAGGAATTCAGGGAAACTAGTTTGCCAGACTCAAGGCTGGAGGTGCGAAGTACAGTGCCTGAACTCTGATGGAGAGGTGGGGATATTGCAGTTCAGATGGTCACGTGTACTTGGTATATGAATGTTCAAATGCCACCTGTTCTCCATTCTCTCTGATTGTAAGAGATTAAAGTTCCCTTCACACCAATATGAAACAATGTTTGCTCCACAAAATGTGAAGTCACATATAGTCTACTATATAATGTTCTCCACTTGGGATCTTCATTAGTTTGCCAAAATAAAAGTCAGTAGAGTTTTTTCTTCTTCTTTTTACTGTTAAATTTACTGGCTAAGAGTTGTTATCCTACCTCAGCTCATTTCAAAGCCAAAGTCCTATCTAAGGTTCATTAATACTCCTTGGGAGGTGACCCACAACAGTCGACTAATGCCCAAGCTAGGTGATCAGGGGCAACCTGGGCCCCTCCCGTCTGTCTTTCATATCACTGACTTAGAAAATTCAAACCAATTAAAGCCAATACTCTTCACTTATGACACCATTCATATTTTCCAAAATACTAACTCAACTGTCCTAAACATACTGTATCAATGAGCTCAAAAAATTTACACTTGAATTACAGCAACAACCTCAAACACTATTACATATTACAGAGTAGATGAAAAGGACACACCAAAACAAATAAGCCTATATTTCATTGCTGCACATCATTCTTCCTATGGAAGGCTGTTTGGTTCACTGATACATGAAGTTGCCACATCTAAATTTTCTATGCTTGTTTCAAGGTGTTTGGATGGACAGTTTTGTTTATTCATGTTATCCAGTATTATGGTAGTTCATAGAGACGAGTTAGCTTTTTGTTATTTTTGCTGTATATGAAATGTAGTGGGGAGCCTCCACCACCTAGGATATTTTCTATTTTGTAAGGGACTTTTTTGGCATGCAGGAGACAAAACATGTAAGACTTGCCCATAAATAATTAGGCAGTCCCTAGTGAGTGCAAGGTTGCAACTATGTGATTAAACTTAAAACTGTGAGATCAGCTCAAGTTCAACCCAAGAACAAAGACAAAATAAAAGTAATCCAGCACTCCTTGGAGTGAAGGCAAGAAAGATACATTACAGGTTATACATAGAAAATTCTAGAGGGGCTGGTCCCAAATCTACACACCAAAATTACTCCCTATAAGTGCAAAAGGCTCCATGGGGAAGTGGAACAGAAATCTTCCTCCACAAGCCATGCGTGTCGTAAGAGGCAACTAAAATGCTGGGAGCAAGGGGGCTAGTAACCCCTTCTGTACATATTACTAAATTTAAAAGGAGAAACTTTCGTTTTTCCTTTTGGGCCACCCTACCTCTGTGGGATACAGCTGGTTTGTTGAAAGTAGTAGTAGTGCAAAAGGCTCAGTACAGTCCAAAATACTGTACTCCTGATAAAAAGAGGTAATTCAATGTGTGAAAAAAGACCCAAAACCTTTCAACACCATCCCTTTATATACAAGAGGAATTACCAACAGACTTCTGGCTATCTTCAAGAGGCAACTTTTTAAGTTTCTCAAATTAGTTCCTGATCAGTCGGCTGTGGTGCCAACATTGGACTGCATGTACCTAGCAAGCAAGTGACCCCAGGAATAAATTACAGGCAAGAATCAAGTCAAAACAAGGCTAGAAACTACCTAGCAGAATCAGTAATGACAAATTGATAAAAATACTTTTTCCTTGAATAAATACTGACACTTCAAATGGAGTGACAGGGTTCAAACCTGGAGTTTGTAGGTCCTAGAATTACTAGCCTGGCACCTCAACTAACTGCACCAATAATTCTAAAGCTGTGATATCAGCACCTACATCGGTGGGAACGAGCTGATGTGTTAAAACAAAAAACTAGAACCATGATTTCCAACCAAGTTACATTCGTTCATTACGAAATTTCAGGAAACAAATATACAGTGGACCCCGCATAACGTTGGCATCGTATAGCGTTAAATCCACATAGCGATACATTTCATCGCTAAAATTTTGCCTCGCATAGCGCTAAAAAATTTGCTCAAGGCGATTCGTCCGAGACGCTTCATGCGGCCTGAGCCAGCCTCACTTGTTCTGCCAGTGGCATTGTTTACAAGCCAGCCTCCGCGGTAACATTCAAGCATACAATCGGAACATTTCATATTATTACAGCCTTTTTATAGTGATTTCACCTGAAAAATAAGTGACCATGGGCCCCAAGAAAGCTTCTAGTGCCAACCCTACAGGAATAAGGGTGAGAATTACTATGGAGATGAAGAAAGAGATCATTGCTAAGTATGAAAGTGGAGTGCGTGTCTCCGAGCTGGCCAGGTTGTATAGTAAACCCCAATCAACCATCGCTACTATTGTGTCCAAGAGAACGGCAATAAAGGAAGCTGTTCTTGCCAAAGGTTTAACTGTGCTTTCGAAACAGAGATCGCAAGTGATAGAAGATGTTGAGAGACTGTTATTGGTGTGGATAAACAAAAAACAGATAGCAGGCGATAGCATCTCTCAAGCAGTCATAAGTGAAAAGACTAGGAAGTTGCACGAGGATTTAATTAGAAAAATGCCTGCAACTAGTGGTGATGCGAGTGAATTTAAGGCCAGCAAAGGTTGGTTTGAGAGATTTAAGAGGCGTAGTGGCATACATAGTGTGATAAGGCATGGTGAGGCTGCAAGTTCGGACCAAAAAGCAGCTGAAAAATATGTTCAGAAATTCCAGGAGTACATAGACAGTGAAGACTGAAACCTGAACAAGTTGTTTGTGACAAAAACAGGCCTGTTTTGGGAAGAAATGCCAAGCAGGACCTACATTACTCAGGAGGAAAAGGCACTCCCAGGACATAAGCCTATGAAAGACAGGCTTACTCTTCTCATGTGTGCCAATGCTAGTGGTGATTGCAAAGTGAAGCCTTTATTGTGTATCACTCTGAAACTCCAGAGCGTTCAGGCAAAAGAATATCCTCAAGGCTAATTTGTGTGTGCTGTGGAGGGCAAGCAATAAGGCATGGGTCACTAGGGACTTTTCTATGACTGGTTACACCATGCATTTGCCCCCACTGTGAAAAATTACCTAACTGAAAAGAAATTAGACCTTAAGTGCCTCCTGGTGTTAGACAATGCCCCTGGTCATCCTACAGACTTGGCAGAGCAACTTTGTGGGGACATAAGCTTCATTAAGGTGAAGTTTTTGCCTCCTAATAACACTCCTCTCCTGCAGCCCATGGACCAGCAGGTTATTGCAAACTTCAAAAAACTGTACACAAAAGCTCTGTTTGAAAGGTGCTTTGTAGTGACCTCAAACTCAATTGACTCTAAGAGTGTTTTGGAGAGATCACTTTAATATCCTTAATTGTGTAAACCTTGTAGGTAAGGCTTGGGAGGGAGTGACTAAGAGGACCTTGAACTCTGCTTGGAAGAAACTGTGGCCAGAATGTGTAGACCAAAGGGATTTTGAAGGATTTGAGGCTAACCCTGAGAGGAGTATGCCAGTTGAGGAATCAATTGTGGCATTGGGGAAGTCCTTGGGGTTGGAGGTTAGTGGGGAGGATGTGGAAGAGTTGGTGGAGGACAATAAAGAACTAACCACTGATGAGCTGCTAGATCAATTTCAACAGCAAGAGGCCACACCTGAGGAAACTGGTTCGGAGGAGGGGATAGAGAAATTGAAGAAGTTGTCTACTTCAAAGATTAAGGAAATCTGTGCAATGTGGCTTAAAGTGCAAACCTTCATGGATGAAAATCACCCTCAGACAGCTATTGCAAGCCGTGCTGGTGACTATTACACTGACACTGTTGTGAAACACTTTAGGAAAGTCATAAAGGAATGAGAGGTACAGGCCACTATGAACAGATATGTTGTGCGACAGAAGTCCAGCGACTCTGAAGCTGGTCCTAGCGGCATTAAAAGAAGAAGGGAAGCAACCCCGGAAAAGGACTTGACACCTCAAGTCCTAATGGAAGGGGATTCCCCTTCTAAACACTAAAACCATCCAGTCTCCCCTCCTCCCATCCCATCAATCACCACCACATCTTCAATAAAGGTAAGTGTCATGTAACTGTGCATGTTTTCTTAAGTTTGTGTGTATTAAAATTAATATTTCATGTGGTAAAAAAATTTTTTTTTCATACTTTTGGGTGTCTTGCACGGATTAATTTGATTTCCATTATTTCTTATGGGGAAAATTAATTCGCATAACGATAATTTCGCATAACATTGAGCTCTCAGGAATGGATTAATAGCGTTATGCGGGGGTCCACTGTATTTCTAAAACTAAAATGTCTTTACATTGGTCAGATTGGAGAAATTGGGAGGATTGATTATTGTTTCACACCATTATAGTGAAGAAAAGGCTATTATTGACTTACTGTTACAGTAGACCACATTGTTGAACTGACGGCCTGAAGGCGGCACAATGTGATGAAAGAATTCCAAGGTTGAAAGTGACAACAGTCGTAAGGTTCCATCCATGGTGATGCACGCTGCTATCCCATTTATTCCACAGTCATTGTCACTAAACTGTTGAAAGCATATTATAATCTTTAATTTGATAACACAATAGGAAGTGCACATATGTAAACATTGGCCAGAGATTCTTTATGTTCACTCAGCAGCAGTAGAGTTTTGAAATACTCCATATAGAAGTCAAAAAGAACAGGAGATACATGCAAGCTCAATTGTAAAAATAACAATTTTGAGAATAAAAATGATTTCTTAAGAAAAAAAAATAGAATCTGCACAAAGAAAAGATAAGATCAAGAAAGGCTTTAGTAAGTATAAGGAGATGAAGTGGCCATTCACTGGCCTTAATGATGAGGAAATGTGCATCATCATCAACAAGAACATTAGTAAAGAGATTCAACATCATGGCTTAGCATGTTAGAAGTATCACGGGCTGTACAAGTTCGATGAAGTGTTAAGTATCTGAGGTGAGCATGAGAAAAAAAAATAAAAACGAAAAAACTGACAGCTGTGACCCACAAGGAGGAAAGAGGACGAGAGATCCTCTAGAACAAAGGTTCCCAACCTTTTCTATGCCCCACACCCCAAGTAAATGTTTGATTTATGTTACACCCATACAAGAGTAACATCACATTTGCATAAAATGCAAATATAAATTAAGCAATTATAAAAGTTTTTGGTAAAATAAGAGGAATTGTGCTTTTCATCAGGAATCTTTTGTGGCACCCCCTGAAATGCAATCTCCCACCCTCCCTGGGGGTGCATGACCCCCAGGTTGGGAACCACTAATCTAAAAGAGATAATGGGATGCAGAGGAACACCAGGTTGTGAGTTTTAGAAATATCAGAGAAATAAAGCAGAGGGAGGTCAGAAAATACACAAATGCTTGAAAGATCAACATCAGGTAGATGGCATTAAGAGGGAGACAAAAGGAGTGTTTCAGTCTCATGTGCGAGTTATTTGTGTACTGTTCGAGTCACAATATTGTGCCTTTTTTTTTCTGAAAGGAGTGTGGTTGTGAGCTAGTGAGCAAGGACTCTGCTTTTCAGAGGTAATCCTCTTGAATATGGAAAACCACCAAAATGATTGTCAGAGATAAAATTATTAGTACTGTATATTCAAATCTAAGCAAGTTGATAGCAATAAAGGTGATTATTCTTAGAAATAAATGCTTTCAAAGGCAGGGATGAGAGCACCATGAATGGCAGATGTGTCAGGAATACATTGAGAGTGACCCTGGTGATAAAAAAAAAAAAAGAGGAGCTAATGAGATAGGCACTTGGCATAATGCATGTAAGCAAGTATTGAGAGTAGCCTCAATGTTAATAAGGAATAAAATCTACCCTGCTAAAGTAAGTGCAATAGCATTTATAAAATATATGAATGATAAAGTAAAGTAAAAGGACACAAGTGCAACTAATGTGACATTTTATTGTGGCAACGTTTCGCTCTCCAGGAGCTTTGTCAAGCCGATACAAACAATATATGGACACAGAGGGTATACAAAGGCTCAGAGTTAGGTGCAATTAAGTGAGGTACCATTTTGATGTTCATTAGTGGTGATAGTAGTAGTAGTAGTAGTGACAAAAGTTGTAGTAGTAGTAGTAGTAGTAATACAATATGGTAGAGCAATTAATTCGTACATGAGTAAAAGGATATAAAAGCTATTACTTGGGTCACATAAAAATAGGTTAGACAAATATAGACTGGAAAGAGGCAGCTTGTTTCAGTGTTCACTCTCTGTAATGTGCTTTGTGTAGTATAACAGGAGAGGCTATGTGATGGCAGGGTTTACTGTTTTCAGGAGGATTCTCGCTAAGACTTCAGAGATGGTGAAGCTGCCGTTGTTTTGTTTAATTGTATTTGAAACAGCGATCAGTGCTGATTCGAGGCACTTGCGTCTGCGGAAATTAGTTTCTTTGATCACTAATTGGGCGTCACTGAATTTCATGAGATGACTGGTGGAGTTTCGGTGTTGTACACAGGCGTTGTTCAAGCTATCGTTCCTACATGCGTAAATGTGTTCAATGAACACATTTACTCATCTACCATATTGTATTACGCTCTACCATATTGTATTACTACTACTACTACAACTTTTGTCACTACTACTACTACTACTACCACTAATGAACATCGAAATGGTACCTCACTAGTATTGCACCTCACTCTGAGCCTTTATATACCCTCTGTGTCCATATATTGTTTGTATCGGCTTGACAAAGCTCCTGGAGAGCGAAACTTTGCCACAATAAAATGTCACATTAGTTGCACTTGTGTCCTTTTACTTTACATATTGCCGGTAATTCTATCAACATTATTACAATGACAAAGTATAAGGTAAATGGTGAACAACACACTACAAACCTCAGGTGGTAGAAGCAGCAGTTTCTTGGGCACAAATTCATACGATGTGAGAAGTTTAGTGTTGACAGGTTCTTCCTGTAACACAACCACCTCGCTGCCCTGACATACTCGGTACACAATAACAGCGCCAAATACTTCCCTCGTCCCTCCCACCGCACCATCACTAGAGTCTGCAGGCACACTCGCCGAGCAGCTGCTGCTTGCTGAACCATCACTTCGGCTCAGTGTGACAACAACATACTCGCCACAACTTGTAGGTACTATCTGGTTGACTGTTAAACGCAGCTTCACACTGTTTAACTTATGCGGCAGAGGAATGCACTGGATGCACTTGGGCTCCTTTTTTATACCATTCTTTGGTTGAGGCTCAGGCATAACCTGATTATCTTTGACTTTTGACTTAGATGCTGAGACTGATCCCACTTGGGAACTTCCCTTATTTTTCACAAACATATTAGGTGGAGGAAAAAACATTTCAATATCATTATGCAATAGCAATGGTGGATCCGACCACAGGTGTTTAGTCTTTGGGTGAGTAATTATGTTCGTCTGCCCAAACGTCCCAACTTTAACGGTAGATTTTTTATAGGGTCCCTGGGTGACTGATTTAGTAACCACTTTATTGCTGCTCATTGGCTGTGGAGCATTCACATTGAGGTCATACACTAATAAATACGGTACGAAGTTCTGCTGACCAGCAGATGCCGAGGTAGACACAACTGCAGGATCACTTAATGATGCAGACTCAGACTCCATAGCAATACAGTCCATGTCATTTTCCTCTTCTGTCATGGATCCTCTCCTAGACGAGTCTAATTTCATTATGTCTAAACTCTCAGGCTTCTCTTTGGGTAGCTTGATTCACATTATTTAGCACCTGAACCAGTCCCACATCACAAGTTTCCTGACGATCTCCACTGGATGTGCCAAAAAGTTCGTAACGCCTCAATCCTACCCCAACCACTAAACAAGATCGAACAGAGGACAACAGATTCACAGTTGCCCCCTTTAGTCTTTGGGACACTTCATTTGGATCTGCTAAAATACACAAAGAGGAAACTCTCACGTCGTGGGATGGTCGAGGGGGCGCAAACAACTCATCTGAGGGAAAAAACATATCCATTAAAATTGTTGAAATACAAGTCATATTACAGTACTAAATATTGTCATCTAATTTCCTGATACAATATTACTAAAAAAAATTACAATGACATAAGGTCAATGCAAATTCTTGTAATGCATCCTTAAAGTAAGTACTACTGTATAATCATCATCTGTATTTCTTTTGTACCTTCTTCAGTACATAAAAATACATACAGATTCACATGATGGAAATGAACAAGTTTCTGCTCCATTAACATATTTTCCACAATATACATAAAAGTATTTATTGTTAAGAGAAACTTTCATTTTTCTTTTTGGGCCACCCTGCCTTGGTGGGATATGGCCGGTTTGTTGAAAAAAACAAATTTATTGTTGCCCCTATGCCCAATATCCCACTACAGTCAGAGTAACTTTCAAGACTGTACCTTCATACACCCCATAACCCATATTATGATTATAATCAAAAAAGAAGCGCTAAGCCACAAGGACTATACAGCTTCCCATAACCCATAGATACTCAACATCTAAGATACAAACCATAGGGTTATGTACAAAAAGAGCTACACTGCATTTAAAATTCATTGAGAACACAGTTACATCCAAAATTAAATTATAAAGCGCCCATCAACACTTCCCACAAGCCTGTCTGGATTGAAGCACATACATTAAACTTGTTAACCTGTGACTGTATCTAACAGCCTCTTTCTCATTAATCTCCTCCTGCTGCTTTCCCCTATATCCCTCCTTTTCCCTTAATTGCTTCCTTAACCCCCTCCTTCCCTTACTCGCTTCCTTCCCCCCTCCTTCCCTTACTTGCTTCATACCCCCCCTCCTTCCTTTCCTCCCTACCTTTCTCTCCCTCTTACCTCTCTACCCCTTCCTCCTTTCCTCTCTTTAACCCTGACTTTTTCTCCTCTCCCACTCTTCCCCTCCTTTAGTCACAAAGCATAACATTTGTTAATATGATTACTGATGGTACTGCCACAGTTAAGCCATGTAAAAACTTCACTGTTTAAACCACAATGACCAACACCACCCCAAAGTCATGCCTGGGTCCAGCACCCATCATAGTAACCTGTTAAGTTCCTGTGAGCAGTAACCACCTTCCCCCCTCCCCAGAACAAATTATTTCTATATATGTATATTTTTTTTTATTCTCCATGGGGAAGTGGAACAGAATTCTTCCTCCATAAGCTATGTGTCGTAAGAGTTGTTGAAAGAGTGTGTTGAAAGATTTTTTTAATATACTGGCAGTCTCCCACCAAGGTAGGGTGACCCAAAAAGAAACACTTTCACCATCATTCACACTACTGTCTTGCCAGAGGCACTGATACGACAGTTTGGATGTCACTAAACAGCAAATATCCCAAACCCCTGGCACTGTACTTCCCACATCCAGGACTCAAGTCTGGCTAAACAGTTTCCCTGAATCCCTTCATAAATCATCACTCTGCTCACACTCCAACAACCTTGTCAAGTCCTAAAAAACCATTTGTCTCCACTCACTCCTATCTAACATGTTCACATACACCTGCTGTATTTCTGTGTATTTCTACATATGCACAAATAACGAAACTTCTTTCAATAAACCAGCTGTATCCCACCGAGACAGGGTGGCCCAAAAGAAAAATAAATGTTTCTCTTCATAACTTTAGTAATGTATACAGAAGGGGTTACTAGCCCCTTGCTCCCAGCATGTTAGTCACCTCTTACGATACGCATGGCTTACGGAGGAAGAATTCTGTTCCATTTCCCCAAGGAGATAAGATGAAATAAACAAGAGCAGGAACTAGAATGAAAACAGAAGAAAACCCAGAGGGGTGTGTATATATATGAATGTATATGTATGTGTAGTGTGACCTAAGTATAAGTAGAAGTAGCAAGACATACCTGAAACCTTGTATCATGTAAGACAATTGCAGGTTTCTGTTTTACACTCACTTGACAGGACAGTAGTACCTCCCTGGGCAGTTGCTGTCTACCAACCTACTACCTAGGATAATGAAACTTACCAACAGCTATATCATCAAGGGGCAGCTCTACGACTTGCGATGTAGGCGGAGGAGGGGGTGGGGGAGGAGGGGGAGGGGGGTTGAGGAGGGGGTGAGACTGAAGGAACAGGTGGTGTCGATGGTCCTGGTGACTGGATGCTCAAGGCGTCAGTTTCTACAGAGAGCCCAGCTTGAGTATCAGACTCCGAATACGGTCCAGCATGATTGGTATCATTTTCACTATTTGTTGAACCATTTTGTTCCTCTTCTCCCCATGCCCATGCCTCACAGGGGGCTGGTGGCTGCAGAGGCATATCCGTATATCCTATCGTGTCCGAAAAATGCTTATCTAATATTGTAGAGTCAGAGGGATCTATTGAAAAATTAACTTCTTTCTGAAATAGAAAATATATATTTTTAACAAGGCAATTATACTCACTGATTTAATCTTATCTGTAAACATGCTATGTCCTTAAATACATATAGGTAATATTTATTGTCCTTGTAATCTAAAGTTAGGATTAAGCTTGCCCAAAATTCTATGCATAACCACTGGCTTGCCACATGAATTATCAAGTGTCTAAAAATAAATAAATAACAAAAAGGCACAATACCGTGACTGGAACAATACACAAATAACCTGCACATAAAAGAGAGAAGCTTACGACGACGTTTCGGTCCGACTTGGACCATTGACAGTCACTTTGTCAATGGTCCAAGTCGGACCGAAACGTCGTCGTAAGCTTCTCTCTTTTATGTGCGGGTTATTTGTGTATTATCAAGTGTCACCCATTTCTGTATAAATAATGTATCATGTGGAAATAAACTATGAATCTGAAAAGCTTTTACATTTCATTTCAGCTAAAACACTTCAAAGAAACAAATTTCTCAATTCACAGGTACAGAACAGAAATTAAATTACCGTAAGCAAAGTTCATTACAACTCAACTCACTGTGCATGTAGGTTAGGTTAGCAACAAATACTTAGGTATGTTTGAGACTGATTCTCATAGCCATATTATTGCATACAGGAGGGCTCCACTTTACAGTACTTCGTTTTATGGCACTTCGCTAATGCACCGGTTTTCAATTACAGTATACTCATTCTTCATTTATTCAAACTTCCTCCAGTAAATATATTCACCACTCACTATAAGCTAAGGACAAAAATATTTTAAGGTAAGTAATGTGTGTACTGTATATGAATTTTTTTAGGCCTAGCTCTATTGCTCACTTAATATATGAAAGTGTAAATATGTTATCAGGCTTTTATATGCAACTGAAAGTAAAAAAAAAAATGGCTGTTTCACTTTACGGCAGTAGCCCAGAACCTTATCTCCTGTACTAGTTAAAGTTTGCTCTGAAAATTTCCAGAGTATAAAGCCCACTGGATTTTCTTAAATATAAAAAAAAATATGTGCAAGGATTCTAGTGATGAGCTAGCAAAGAGAAAGTCACCACATTCAACCAAGTTATTGTTTCAACCAACCGGCTACCATTGAAGTGTTCAAAGTGTACTTCTAGTTGAGAAGGCTGAGGATAAGATGTGCTGCCAATTCCTTATACACAAACGAATTAAAAAAAATAGTTTAATACTTCTCATATTTTTTGCTTTAATAACTCAGAAGGAACCTTTACAGTGTAAAACATTCTATACTAGAACCTGCTCTATACTTTTTTTTATGTATCACTTCTGATAATATATTATAATGCACACTAAATATTTTCTCTGGCTCCTTCACATTTTGGTCATTAGTAGTAGATACTTTCAAAACTTACCTTTAACTGCTTAGCTGTATTCCACACTACAATACTGCCATGTTTAGTTGCAGAAGCAATGAACTGATGACTATTAGTGTGGCTTAAAAATGCCACCTCTTCAGTGCGTTCACTGTGCGTCAGGGCAGGACTTGTGGCATATGTGACAGACAGCGGAACATTATTGGTGTATTCCCCCTTCACAAATGGGCAGTTTGGCGAGTGACGTTCGTGCTCCGACCTACAAGGGATAAAGATAAAAAAAAAATCCGAGTTAGTGTACAGAGTGCATTTAGGTAAGTGGTAAATATTATTTTCTATACATAAGGGTGACACACTGAGCATCTCTTGAAGTTACTGCCATATACGTACTCTGCGTATGTGAAGATTATAGTACTAACATTGTGATTTTAATAACTTACTCTAGTTTCATATGAACACAAGGATGTATTATTGCAAAAATGGAATACAATATTGACAAGATGAGGAATTACATATGCAAAATCTGGGTATCTATTTCAAATAAAGATACCCAAGAGTTGCACACATGTAATTCCTCAACACAAGGCAGGAGCATGTCAACTCTCAATTAATAAACAAATACATATGGATTAATAATGACGACAGGCAGAAGTGAAAAAATGTTGATGCCGTGCGGACACCTAAAATGAAGAGTTCAGCAATGATACATTTTGAAATCACTTAAGTTTTGCTTCGAGCTATGACATGACGTTTCTTTTCATTCATAACTTTCACAATGAATTCTTTCTTCACATCCATACAACACCCATACACATTCACATATACAAGCTCTAAATTATCCCTTTTCAAGTTAATGTATACAGTAGGAAGAATTACTAGAACCTTGTTCCCAGCATTTTAGTCGTCTTTTAAGACACATTGCTTACTTAGGAAGCATTCCTCTCCACTTCTCCATGGAGATAAAAGAAAACGGTATAAAACAAGAGCTATTAATTAGAAGGAAGCTCAGATGAGCGTGTGTACACATGTACAGTTGTCCCTTGTTTTTCGTAATTAATCCGTTCCTGGAGGAGCTACTATAAACGAAATTTACGATTTGCGAATCAATTTTCCCCATAAGAAATAATGTTTTTTTTTTTTTCCAACAAGTCGGCTGTCTCCCACTGAGGCAGGGTGACCCAAAAAAGAAAGAAAATCCCCAAAAAGAAAATACTTTCATCATCATTCAACACTTTCACCACACTCACACATTATCACTGCTTTTGCAGAGGTGCTCAGAATACAACAGTTTAGAAGCATACACATATAAAGATACACAACATATCCCTCCAAACTGCCAATATCCCAAACCCCTCCTTTAAAGTGCAGGCATTGCACTTCCCATTTCCAGGACTCAAGTCCGACTATATGAAAAAAACCGGTTTCCCTGAATCCTTCACTAAATATTACCATGCTCACACTCCAACAGATCGTCAGGTCCCAAGTACCATTCGTCTCCATTCACTCCTATCTAACACGCTCACGCACGCTTGCTGGAAGTCCAAGCCCCTTGCCCACAAAATCTCCTTTACCCCCTCTCTCCAACCCTTTCGAGGACAACCCCTACCCCACCTTCCTTCCCCTATAGATTTATATGCTTTCCATGTCATTCTACTTTGATCCATTCTCTCTAAATGACCAAACCACCTCAACAACCCCTCTTCTGCCCTCTGACTAATACTTTTATTAACTCCACACCTTTTCCTAATTTCCACACTCCAAATTTTCTGCATAATATTTACACCACACATTGCCCTTAAACAGGACATCTCCACTGCCTCCAACCGTTTCCTCGCTGCTGCATTTACCACCCAAGCTTCACACCCATATAAGAGTGTTGGTACTACTATACATTCATACATTCCCTTCTTTGCCTCCATAGATAACATTTTTTGACTCCACATATACCTCAACGCACCACTCACCTTTTTTCCCTCATCAATTCTATGACTAACCTCATCCTTCATAAATCCATCCGCCGACACGTAAACTCCCAAGTACAGTGGACCCCCACATACCGTTGGCATTACATAACGTTAAATCCGCATACCGATACATTTTATCGCTAAGATTTTGCCTCGCATACCGCTAAAAAACCCGCTCAACGCTGTTTGTCCGAGACGCGTCTAATGTGCGGCCTGAGCCAGCCTCACATGTTCCGCCGGTGGCATTGTTTACCAGCCAGCCTCCGCGGTAACATCCAAGCATACAATCGGAACATTTCGTATTATTACAGTGTTTTTGGTGATTTTATTTGCAAAATAAGTGACCATGGGCCCCAAGAAAGCTTCTAGTGCCAACTATAGAATTACTATAGAGATGAAGAAAGAGATCATTGCTAAGTATGAAAGTGAAGTGCGTGTCTCCGAGCTGGCCAGGTTGTATAATAAACCCCAATCAACCATCGCTACTATTGTGGGCAACAAAACGGCAATCAAGGAAGCTGTTCTTGCCAAAGGTTCAACTGTGTTTTTGAAACAGAGATCGCAAGTGATGGAAGATGTTGAGAGACTCTTATTGGTATGGATAAATGAAAAACAGATAGCAGGAGATAGCATCTCTCAAGTGATATAAGTGAAAGGCTAGGAGTTGATGAGGATTTAATTAAAAAAATGCCCTGCAACTAGTGATGATGTGAGTTGGAATTTAGGCAGCAAAGGTTCGTTATGAGAGATTTTTAGAAGCGTAGTGGCATACATAGTGTGTTTAAGGGCATGGTGAGGCTGCCAGTTCAGGGACCACAAACCAGCTGAAAATATGTGCAGGAATTCAAGGAGTACATATACAGTGAAGGACTGAAACCTGAAACAAGTGTATTAAATTGTGGATGGTGAATCAGGCCTGCTATTGGAAAGAAATGCCCCAAGCAGGACCTCATTACTCAGGGAGGAAAAGGTACACTCCCAGGGACATAAGGCCTATGAAGCAAGGCTTACTCTTTCATGTGTGCCAAAATGTAGTTGGTGATTACCAAAGTGAAGCCTTTATTAGTGTGTCATCAGAGAGAACTCCCAGAGCGTTCAGGCAAAAGAATATCCTCAAGGCTAAGTTGTTGTGCTGTGGAGGGCAAACAGTTATGGCATGGGTCACTAGGGGACTTTTCTCATGAACTGGGGTACACATGCATTTGCCCCCAATGTTGAAAGATTACCTAACTGAAAAGAAATTAGACTTAAGTGCCTCTAGTGTTAGACAATGCCCCTGGTCATCCTACAGGACGTTGGCCCCAGAGCGAAACTTTATGGGGACACGAGCTTCATTAAGGTCAAGTTTTTGCCTCCTAATACTCTCCTCTCCTGCCATGCCCAATGGACCAGCAGGGTTATTGCAAATTCAAAAAAACTGTACCACAAAAGCTGTTGGAAAGGTGCTTTGTAAGTCGACCTCAGAAATCAATTGACTCATAAGAGAGTTTTGGAGAGATTCACTTTATATCCTCAATTGTGTAAACTTTATAGGTTAAGGCTTGGGAAGAGTGACAGAGGACCTTGAACTTGCTTGGAAGAAACTGTGGCCAGAATGTGTAGACCAAAGGGATTTTGAAGGGTTTCATGCTAACCCTGAGAGGGAGTATGCCAGTTGGGGAATCCATTGTGGCATTGGGAAAGTCCTTGGTGGTTTGACGCAGGTTAGTGGGGAATGATTGTGGAAGAGTTTGGTGGAGGAGGACATGAAGAACTAACATGTTGAGCTGCTAGATCAACTTCAAAGCAAGAGGCCAGACCTGAGGAAAACTGGTTCGGAGGAGGGGAGAGAGAATTGAAGAAGTTGCCTACTTCAAAGATTAAGGAAAGTGTGGAATGTGGCTTAAAGTGCAAACTTTTTTTAATGACAAACACCCTATCACAAGCTATCTGAGCCGTGTGCTGGTGACTATTACACTGACACTGTTGTGAAACACTTTAGGGAAGTCATAAAGGAACGAGAGGTACAGGACACTATGGACAGATATGATTGTGCGACAGAAGTCCAGGACTCTGAAGGCTGGTCCTAGTGGCATTAAAAGAAGAAGGGAAGTAACCCCAGAAAAGGGACTTGACACAAGTCTTAATGGAGGGGAGTTCCCCTTTCTAAACACTAGGACTCTTACTCCTCCCATCCCATCAATCATCACCAGAATTCAATAATAAAGGTAAAGTGTCATTGTAAAACTTGTGCATTGCCTTTTTCAGTTTGTGTGTATTAAAATTAATATTTCATGTGGGGTAAAAAAAAAAATTTTCATTACTTTGGGGTGTCTTGCACGGATTAATTTGATTTCATTTATTTCTTATGGGGAAAAATTCATTCGCATGACGATAAATTTCGCAAGAACAATGAGCTCTCGAACGATATTAATATCGTTATGCGGGGCGTCCACTGTATCTGAAAACATTCACGTCTTCCAATCCTCCTCCCCAATTCGTTATCCAATTTTTCTTTATCTAAATCATTTGATACCCTCATCACATTACTCTTTTCTATGTTCACTTTCAACTTTCTACCTTTTACCACACATTCCCAATCATCCACTATCCTTTGGCAAATTTTTCGTAGAATCTCCCATAAGCCAGTATCATTAGCAAAAAGTAACTGTGGCAATTCCCATTTGAATTTGATTCCCGCAAAATTTAATCCCCACACCCTCTCCAAAAAACACCCTCATTACTTCCTTTACATAACCCCATCTATAAATATATTAAACAAACCATGGTGACATTACAATCCCTTGTCTAAGACCTATTTTTACCGGGAAGTAATCTCCCTCTCTTCTACACACCCTAACCTGAGCTCACTTCCTCATAAAAACTCTTTACAGCATTTAATAAACTTCAACCTATTCCATATTCTTGCAACATCTGCCACATTGCTCCTATATCCACTCTATCATATGCTTTTTCTAAATCCATTAATGACAATAAATGCTTCCCTACCTTTATCTAAATACTGTTCACATTATGCTTCAATGTAACACCTTGATCTTACACATCCCTACCCAACTCTGAATCCTCCTTGCTCATGCAAATCTACATTCGTCTTACCTCTATTCTTTCAATTATAACCCTAACGTACACTTTTCCTGGGTCTATACTCAGTAAAACGTATCCTCTATAATTTTTACAGCTCTTTTGTCCCCTTTCCCTTTATTTAAAGGGATTATACTGCTCTACGCCAATCCCTAGGTACCTTCCCCTCTTTCATACATGTATTAAACAAAAAGTCACACTTCCAACACTATAT